TTTTTTGATACTTTTAAAAACATAGCAGATGCTCAAAATAGTATAGTTGTTCTTACCATGTACTTTAGTGCATTTAAAGTATTCTTCTTAAGTCTTACCCTTAATCTATATGCGTCGAATAATGATTTCATTTTTGTTAGTTTGTATTGGATTCTGGGTGTTTTTTCCCTGTATTTAATGATTACTTCAAATTATTATAGAGCAGTTCTGAAGATGATGAGTCAAAGTCATCAGGAAAAGGTAGAAAGAAAATTAGAAGTATCCTTGAAGATTATAAATTACTAAGAGAAACACAGAAAGCACTTAAAGAAGAAGAGGAAGGAGAAAACGCCTTGCTGAAAGAGCAAGAAAGAAAAAAATTAAGAGAGGTAATAATTACTAAATGTTAGAGTTGATTCTTCTTGAATTCCTGTTAATCATAAATTCTGGGGGCAGCTAGGTGATGCATTGGATAGAGCACCAGCCTTAAGTCAGGAGGACCTGAGTTCAAATCCGGCCTCAGACCAAACACTTGATACTTACTAGCTGTGTGACCCTGGGCAAGTCAGTTAACCCCAATTGCTAACAAACAAAAACAAAACCAACAAACCAAACAAAAAAAACCACATAAATTCTTCAAGTCTGCATAGACTAATCTAATGACTTTGAAGTTTACCTGGAAGCATTCATAATATTGTGTAAATGGATGTTGACTGCTTCAGATTTACATAGAACTTCTGTGGCCATTAATTTTATTCAAGTGGGTAATAATTCATTGAAAACATTTTTTTTTAACCTCTCCTATAAGCCATAGTTGGATATCATGGACTATTTGCTGAACATAACCATCTAGGGATTCCAAGTACATGGTACAAAATAGATTTTGTTATCTTTGGCAATAGAAGATTCTTTATAAAGGTTGGCTATTGTTGTTAGTATTATTAGTAGTATGTTGGTCTTTAACCTTCAAAACACCTGTACAAGTTACATATTTGGATATTCTGCCAACACACTTAGATCTTAAGAAAATTTGCCTTACATTTTTACTTCCCTGTTTGTGTGTAAATCTGCTCTTTACAATGAGTTGTTTTCTTTTTTAAAATAATTTTTATTGATATTTTCCCTTCATCATCATTTCTATATATGTCCTTTTCCTCCTCTCAGGGAGTCATTTCTTGTAACAAAAACACTGACAGATAAAAGAAGTAACATTTATCTAACATTTACATAGTGCAATAATATTTGTTGACACTTGTATGTTTCTATGTATATAAACTATATGCATTTATTATTTCATTTGACCCTCACAAATAACCTTGAAAATTAGACGCTAGTTTTTAGATGAGAAAACTGAGGTACACAGTTAAGGGACTTGTCCAGAGTTACACAAATAGTGAATCTCTGAAGATTAATTTCAACTCAGGTCTTAATGAGGAAGGAAGAAAAAGGCAGGTTAATAAAACTGTAACCCATACTATCAGGGAAGCTGAAGCTAGTGAATTACTTGAAATGAGAGTTCTGAGTTAAGAAACAACCAGTAAAAAGTTCTGTGCTGATAATCACTGGGGTTTGCATTGGTAAGAATGGCTGCCACATTTCCATCAAGGGGAGGAAAGGAGACCCCAGGTCTCAAAAATGAAACAATATTAAACAAACAAACAAACAAACAAACAAATGAATAAACAAACAAACCATCTCCTATCACTCAGGTGCTTTCTGCACTTTCTTTTCCTTTACCCCGGCTCAGAAGATGAAGTGGCCTTACTCCTTACCAAGATCAATCCCTCTACGTGTTCAAGTGCTCTTGTTCCATCCTGTCTCCTCTAGTACTTAGTAGGTGCTTAATAAATGTTTGTTGAACTGAATTGAACCTACCTTACAAGGATTGTTGTGAGGACCAGATGAGAGAATGTTTGTAAAGTGTTTTGCCCATCTTAATTAGTATTTAATACTTTGTTCCGAAATTATGACTTAATGTAAAATCCTACAACATGAGTTAAGTTATAGAACTTTTCCCAATAGTATGTAATATCCGACTTCTAATAGTAGTTGTTAATAGCATGCAACTCTTATCAGCATTATTTGGTTAGTATATGTGAGAAATAACTCATTCAGACTCAGGAGGGATGAAGTTAAAAGCCCAATTTATTACACAGTTGCAATGACGAGAGTACCAAAACAGGAGTTCACTATTTGTCTCTAATCCTGGCCACAAAGTCCTCCTGTTTCCTCATTGGCTGAGTACTCCAGAGTGCCCAACTTTCAGGTACGCCTATTACACAATTACTCCTTGACATGTCATTCCTCCTTCTTCATACATCCCATGTTCAGAAAAAGGTGTGCTAGCTCCTCCTGGAAGTAGAGAAGCTAATGTTTATAAGTGTATTAAACTTAACCTTGTCCTACTTACTAACTTCTGTCAGAAAAACATGAGACCTAATGTATTCTGTTTTACTTAGTTACTTCTCTAGCTGTTTGCTCCAAATTTATGGGAACAAACATTTTCGTTATATCTCTCAGTATACTTTCACCATTTCACCACTGAAGAATGATTATCAGTTTTATATATCTGTATTAATTAATTCCCTATACATTTGATCTATTAGAAACTGATCAGAAATAACAGATATAAGCATATATTTTTTTTCTCAGTTGACTTCTTCCCTTATTGTATGGTGCTAATTTTCTTATGTTATGACTTTTCATATGCCTAGTCATAGCTAATCATTTTGAGCTTATGCATAATAATTTCATGATGTTTAGGTAATAATTGCTGGACTTCTGGTCAAAAAGATAACATAAAAGTTTATAGACAAACCCTTCTTCCTCCTCCGAGGAATACATCTTAATGATAATAATATCTTCCATTACATAATACTTTAAAAATTTCAAACTGTATTGTATGTACATATTATATCATTTTGGAAGTGAAGAATATCTATTTAGAAAAAACAGAGCCAAAGAGAAACAATTTGCTTTATTGTGGAGTGGAAAACAGCATTTTTATCATAGGACTATTCCTATTCTTTGGATTTTTTCCTTTGAGAATTGACTATTCAAATCTATGAATCAGTTCCTCATTCATTTTTGAAATTAGCCCTTTAACAGAAACTTACTAAAAAATTCCACCTCCTCACCTCCTTTTCCTTTTTCTCTTCTAATTTTAACTACATTAGTCTTGATTGGGCAATTGGGATCACTTTTTTATTGCACATTTTGTCATTTGTATTTATCTCTTTCCTTGACTTGATCATGAATCTGTGGCCACATATTTATCAAGAGGTAATTTTTCTAGCACCTCTAATTTTTCTTTATGATGTGACCATTTAACATGTATCCATTTGGAATCTGTCTTGGCATATGGTGTGAAGTGTTGATCCAAACTTAATTTCTGAGAGACTACTCTCTAATTTCCCTAGGAGTTTTGGTCAAAATTTTTAGCCCATTTCTTGGAGTCTTTAGATTTGCTGAATTTCCTTCTGCAAGGACTCTTATCTGTTTAACTTTTATTGAAGTACTTAATCAAGCTGCTTTCCATTGTTCAAATGTTTTCTTGTTTCTCGAGTTTTGATTTCAAAGATTCTTCTTCTGGATTTTTCATCTGGAATGCTTGAATGATCTTCTGTGTTAAAAGGTTCAGTTTTTACCCCGTAGACTTATACTCATTTAAATCCTTTATATTTTGCTTTCTGAAACATTATGTTAAAATTTTTTCTTGAGGCAGCTGGGTGGCACAGTAGATAGAACACCAGCCCTGGAGTCAGGAGGACCTGAGTTCAAATCCGGCCTCGGACCAAACATTTGACACTTGCTAGCTGTGTGACCTTGGAGAAGTCACTTAACCCATTTCTCGCCAAAATATATATATATAATATATATATATATATATATATATATATATATATATATATATATAATATATATATATATATATATATATATATATATATATATATATATATATATATATATATATATATATATATTATATCTTTTCTGTAAGTAGCTGCTATCTTTGGGCCTTTAGTATTTTTCTGTATGGCTAATTGTAGCATTTTTTCTTTGACTTGAAAGCTCTGAGTTTTGGCCAACATGATCCCAAACATTTTCATTTTGTTGTTTCTTTTAGGGTGTGATTGATGAGTTCTTTCTGTTTTTCTTTTGCCTCCTGTTTCTAAAAGATACTAGTATGTCTTTTTTTTTTGAATTCTCAAATTATTTGCCCTTCAATTGTTATAAAGGTCATTTATTTTTGTTAGTAAATAACCTTAACCCTATTAAGTTTCTCTCTCTAAACCACCTTCCAAATTTTAGACTTTGTTTTTCAGTGAGTCCACTTTTTGGTTAAGTTGAGAGGCAGCTAGGTGGCACACAGAGCACTGAGTGTGGAGTCAGGAAGAACTGGGTTCAAATGCAGCCACAGGGACTTATTAGCTGAATGACCCTATTTTCCTTTAATTACTGTTTTGGCGGCATCCCACAAATTTTGGTATGTTGTCTCAGTGTTGTCATCATCTTTAATTCAATTATTGATTGCTTCTGTAATTTGTTCTTCAATTATCCATTCTTTGTGGTTGTTCACTCATTTTCCAGTTGTGCACTCTTCATAACCCCAGTTAGGATTTCTTGGCAGAGATACTGGAATGGTTTGCCATTTCCTTCTTTAGCTCCTTTTGTAGATGAGGTAACTGAGGCAAACAAGATTAAGTGACTTGGTCCAAGATCATAGAGCTGTTAAGTGTCTGAGATGGGATTTGAACTCAGGACTTCCTGACTTCAGGCCTGGAGCTCTGGGCACTACAACACCACCTAGGTACCTGACATCCATTCTTTAGAATTGAATTATTTAGTTTAGTTTTTAAATTAAATTTTTATCTTTGTTTCCAACCTTTTTGATAAATAGTATTTTTGTTTCATTATTGTCAAAAAGAAACCTTTAATTTTTCTGCATTTGAGGTATTTATGCCCTAACACATGATTAATTTTTGTGAATATGACATGCGCTGCTGAGAAATAGTGATGCTCCTTTCTATTCAAATCCATTCAGTATTCTCCCAAAGTCCAAACTCTGTTCAAGCCATTAACTTCTTTCTTGTTTATCATTAGTTCTGACTGTGACTTTGATGACCTCAATAGTTGTTTACAACTGAATCTGTGATTTCCTGAATTAACTTTTTTCTCTGGGAAATTTTTCCTATAGAACTGGAGTTACCCAGAATGTTTAAAACAGAAGCAATTAATTACCTTTAATAGAATAGGATACTTGAGGATAGAAGCTATGATCATATTCTCTGAGTTTCCCCTATGTTTGAAATATAATATTTGATGAGTTTAACTGAAGTGAAAAGAAAATTTTTAAATCCATACTAGCTAAAGATAAAAAGAATTTATTACATTAATTGTTCCTGCTTTTATTTTCCTGACAGTCAACTGTTATTCTCCCTTTTACTTGCAGGTGGTAGATAGTTATGCTTCACCTACTGAGCGTCCAATAACAACCAAACTTGTTTTAGATGAAGATGAAGAAACCAAAGAACCCTTGGTTCAGATTCATAAAAACCTGGTTACCAAATTGAAACCTCATCAAATAGATGGTAAGTATATATTGATATATTTAAAATACAGTTTTAAATTACTTGTTTGCATAATTCTTTTTCAGTTGTTTTCACATTTAATTTATACTTTGCATGCTTTGGTAAAAGGGAAATGTCTGTGGGATGTGTGTGTAGTATGTCTTGTTTTGCATTTGAAGCATTTGAAAATTATTGGAGCTATTAAACACAGTCATTTAAATTTCTTTAAAGAAACATATATATGAAAGAAATGATAAAAATTATCTTTAGCAAGTACGAATTTAATAATCTTTTTAAACTTAAACTCACCAAAAATATGTTATATATTCAACATGTGCAAAGGCCTGGAGACTCAGAGAATAGGAACATAGTTCTTGTCCTATTCCATAGTTCTTGTTAAAAATTAGAAATTTTCATTTAAAAAAATTACATGAAGTTTAAGGTTCTTTTATTAATTTGTTTTACATAGGTGTTCAGTTTATGTGGGATTGCTGTTGTGAATCTGTAATACAAAGAAAGAAATCACCAGGCTCAGGATGCATTCTTGCCCACTGTATGGGTCTTGGAAAGACACTACAGGTAAGATACCATAAAAATCCGGGATGAGTCATATATTGTTATCTTATTATCTTGAAATTTAATATGGCACATATTAAACTTCCTAAAACATTTTGTACTTTTTGCTGATTCAGAATTATGGCTATTCCTTTCTTAATGACCAAGACTTTCACCGGGCGATTATTCTGAGTCCTTACTTGCCCATCTTCATTGATAATGAGCCAAATAGCATCCTGGCTTCCGTAATTATTACCCTATTCAATTCTCATGACCACTGTCTCCAATCTATTTAAAAGAATGTAGATTTTAGATTTTACTCCTCTTGAATCCTATTTTCATTTTGTATATATTTAAAGATTATCATGTGGACATGTCTCTTGCTGTATCCCCTTGAGAATGTAAAGCTTTTGAAAGGTAGGAACTTTTGGTAGGCTTGAGAATA